TACGTGGCACATTTGTTGCCATGGTTAGTTGTTAAGGGCACTTCCAGCAGTGGGAATCTTGCCATGGCAAGGGGGGGCTAGGGCTGACACTATTCACGGGAATAGTGTCTGCCCTTGCAAAAAGTAAGTTACACTTCCAGCAGTTGCCATGGCAAGAGGGGTACTATTCAATTTTTTGTTTTTTTCACAAATTTGTTTACCTAAACAATTAATTTGGACAATATTTTCGGATGAGATTTTCTGATAAAATATTCGAATAAGATTTTCAGATAAGATTTTTGATTTCAAATTTAAGATAAATTTCAAAATTTTAATTTCATATAAATTTCATCTGAATTTCAAATTTCAGATAAATTTCATTTGAATTTCAATTTCAGATAAATTTCATCCGAGTTTCAAATTTCGAATAAGATTTTCACCCTATAAAATTGCGCCACGTGTCATCTGAATTTCAAATTTCAGATAAATTTCATTTGAATTTCAACTTTTCATTTGAATTTCACATTTCAGATACATTGCATTTGAATTTCAAATTTCGGATAAGATTTTCACCTTATCAAATTGAGCCACGTGTCATGTCTATCGACCTAAATTTTTCTATAAAACTAAGGCTCAGCTCACAAACCTCTCACACTACATCTTCTCAAAAATTTCATTTCTCAGATTTTAGATTTCATATTTCATATTTCATTCACAATGTCAGACATGGAGGTCTTGGAGAGGCAAGAGCGAGAAATAAGAGAAAGAAGGCGTAGACGAGCTGCAAGCAAAAGAGCGCAGAGAGATCTAGATCAGCAACTTGTCATGGCTGTGGCCATGCTTGATGAAGAAAACCAGAGCAGTCGTGGTTCACATGAAGGCCGTGCCCCAAATGTTGACAGACATAGGCATTCTCGGGGTAAGAATCTTATGGAAGATTATTTTATCCCAACATCTCTGTACTTTGATGTTCATTTTCGAGGGAGGTATAGAATGCAACAAAATTTGTTCAATAAAATCATGCATGATATTTGCAATTATGATGAATACTTTGTTCAAAAGAGAAATTGTGCTGGTGTTTTGGGACTGCTTCCCGAACAAAAGTTCATAGTTGTTATACAAATGTTGGCGTATAGTGCATCTACTGATCAGGTGGATGAGATTGCCCGGATGGGGAAGTCCACTGCCTTGGAGAGTTTGGTTAGATTTTGTGATGCAGTCGAAACTCTGTACACCAGGGACTACCTGCGCCGACCCACGCCCAGGGACTTGCAACGACTTCTGCAGAAAGCCGAACGGAGAGGATTTCCAGGAATGATTGGTAGCATCGACTGCATGCACTGGCAATGGAAGAATTGCCCAACTGCTTGGCAAGGTGATTACGGAAATCGAAAAGGCCAAAAAAGCATCATCCTTGAAGCCGTTGCAGGTTTCGATACATGGGTTTGGCACGCTTTTTTCGAAGTTGCTGGATCTCAAAATGACTTGAACGTTCTAGGTCAATCCCCGGTGTTCAATGATGTTTTGAGAGGAGAAACCTCGAAAATCACATATAAAGTCAATAATACCATCTACCAAACTGGGTATTATCTAGCTGACGGGATCTACCCGAGGTGGACAACATTTGTGAAATCACTTCCGCATCCCCGAACCCAGAAGCAAAAATTATTTGCTACATATCAAGAGGGTTACAGAAAGGATGTGGAGAGGTGCTTTGGTATCCTCCAAGCTCGGTGGGCAATCATTAGGGGTGCGGCGCATATGTTTGATGAGGAGGTGTTGAGGAGCATAATGATGACATGCATCATCCTTCATAACATGATTGTGGAGGATGAGTATGATTACGAAGCTGAAGAGGTGTACGAACCCGATCCCATGAACACGGCCTTGACCTGAATTTATGAAAAACCAATAGGGCCAAATGGAGGACCAGTGGAGCATGAACCGTTGGTTAGAGATGGTCTTTTCATGAACCGTATGATTGATCGATATACGGAGATGCAATCTTCGTATATTCATGAACGCCGTCAAGTTGACTTAATGGAGCATTTATGGGCGGTGAAAGGCAATAACAATGAATGAAGTGAAGTGAAGAACATTTTTAAGATTTTAATGTTTATGTTTTATGTTTAGTTATGTTTGGTTTTTTTATGCTTTGGTTGTGGTTTGTTTGTTTTTATATTTTTAATGCTTTGGTTGTGTTTAGTTTTTTTATGTATTGAATGTTTTGAATAAAAAGGAATTTTATTTAATAGTTTCTTTGGTAACTCAAAGAAAACCAATACTACTAATAAAATAAAATACATGAATTCCAACTAATTTTTAAAACAAAACATTAAAATACAATGAAATGAAAAGGCAAGCAAACTAACTTAAGGGTTTTCATCATTTAACCAATCCGTATTGCTAGGTCCATCATCATGAAAAAGTCTTCGTCTCATAATAGCCTTTCGTTCTAGCTTCCAATATTGTTTTGTTTCAGGAGACATGTGGCTTGTATCCATGGCCATGGTTTCCCGATCCTTCTTTTCTTCGTTTTCTTTGCGTTAATACTCCCTTTCTTTGCGTACATACTCCCTTTCTTTAGCAAATTCTATTGCCATTGCCCTATCATCTTCTTGGACTTTCTTGTCTATTTCAATTCTCAAGGCGCTTTGCCTTGCAATTTCCTCCAAAAATTTAGAGGTATTACTTGTAGAATTAATTCCTCTCTTTGCCTTCGCCGCCTTCCTCCCAATAGGCCTCAGCTCCTTTTGAATGGGTGAGTCTTCACTCATAGGGTGAGTCTACACTCACACAACAAGACATCTTCCATGATGCTCCATGCCCCTCCGGTTTCTTGAGAAAAAGCCATAATGATAGAGAAAAATTAAACTTGAAAATGAAAACAATTTAGAGTAAAAAGTGAAGAAAATATTGAATAGAAAGTGAATAATAGTTGGAGAAGGAGAAGATGTATGAGAATTTGTTGTTAAAACTGAAGAGTATGTATTAGTATTTATAGAAAAAAAGTCAATATTTTTTGTGGTTTTTTAAAAAAAATTTACGATTTTTTTTCATAATTTTTTGCCTTGAAAAATGCCAGGCCGTTGGATTGGATAACAAGGCAAAATCGGAAGGACCACAGCGCCACGTCGCACAAAGCCGTTGGGGGAAAAGCTGATGTGCGCGTTTGAATTTTTTTTAACGTTGGCGCGTGCAATGCACGCGCCAACAATAAACAAATTTTAAAACCGCGTGCTGACGTCACGCTGGCATCAGCGATGACGTCAGCAGCGCCCTCGGGCTCCCTCCGCCTTCAGGCCAGTCTAGGCACGTGGACCCCACCCTGCCCGGGCCAGCCTTTGTTTCTTCTTCATATTTTACTATTTTGAGAAAAATTATATTACAACACTCATACATTCCACTACTATGTATTGTTTCATTTAATTAAACTACTATTTATAGACAATATTCCATATATGACACGTGTATGTTGATAAGCATTTAACAAGATTTATGATAAGGTAGTGTTTCAAATGGTTCTAACCTCCAACGGTCTGAACCAAATATATATATATATATATATGTTTTAAAACAAAACGAATTTAAATACATTTAAAAAGGTTAGAAGAAAATAAAATAAAATAAAAAACTTAATATTAGCTGATGGATCTGTAGGTGCCCGAGATGTTTCGTGCGCTTGTCCACGAGTAATACTTTCTCTTCTTGAAAAGCACATGCGCTGGGCTCACCAAAATTTTTGGCCTAAGCTACAAGTGGCCTGGTTGGAGAGCTAAAGGGCTAAATTTGGCAAATTTTGTTTTTTCCCATAGTTGGAGATGGGTTTCACATTATTTTAGAGCTATATTTGGCCTATGACCCATGGTTAGAGATGACTTTACTGCTTAGGCTGCCAATAACCCTATGACGATAACACTTACACGTGACATAGCATTATTGGCTAAGATAACAAAATAGTGATATCCTGTTGCAACTAAGTTTTTCTCATTCACAGGCGAACATATGTAAATAGAGGTTTGCCTCCTTATTTATGAGTTCAACAGGGGTTTGCCTCTCTGCTAACATATGTAAACAAACAATGTCTCTGCTTTTGTATATTATCTCATTCATATATTGGTTTATTAGTGAAATTCTTTATTATTAAACGTATGTTGAAATCCTTAATTATTTTTATATTTATGAATGTCGCTAGATAGATGAGCCTCCTAATGTCATTTAGGACACCTTAATGGATCATGATGAATGTCTCGCCAGCACCTCCGCCTCTAACCCACTTGTCCAAGTACAAAAAAACACTTTGTGAAGAGGAAGGAATACAAATGGGATTCAAAGTTTAAATTGATGTTGGCATGCACCCAAATTACAATCATGAATTTTATTCAATTCGATAACTGCTATCGCAAAAATTATATCCTTTTGTAACTTAATATTGAAGAACCACTTTCCCAATCTTCCTACTAAGATAATGATTGCGAAAGCTCCTTGGTCATAGTTTTTCTCACAGGCATATTTGCAATTGCTTCATTAAAAGCGCATCATGTTTCTCCGGAAACACTTCCCATTGCTTTTCTAGTAAGCACTTAACACTTCCAATTGCTTTTTTAGTAAGCACTTGAATTTTGAATACAAATTTTGACATGCCTATAGAATATCAGTCACGAGTAAAAGTGCTTCTTGCAAATAGGGTTCAAATTTGTAAAAAGATTTTCTCCATCGGAGATTTTACAGTTACTGGGATTGAAGAAGCAATAGGTTTTGTTTGGCTCACAAAACAATAAAGTGAGCATTGTCCAAATATATATACAAACAGATTGCAAAAAGCCATTAATCAACTACATTTCAGATGCCTGCAACAGTGTTTCAACACATTTACAAAAACAAAAAAAATGATACAAATAGTGTTTTAACATGTAAGTTTGTAGGATCAGTGCCAAAATGTTACAAGTCCACGAAAGCACATCTGGACATTTATAGGGAAAATAAACTGACATCGGAAACCATTCTTCATGCATAAATGATCAATTGCCTCCCACCTGCCTCTTCCACGAGTCTTCCACAATCAACTCATCTACTCCCCAATCTTCATAACTGAAAATTTAAACACCCAATTAAAATGTTTCAAAAATACATACATGACGCTACAAGTTACAAAGAGTTTTGTCCGTGGGCACTTGTGCGAAAGCACAAAAACAATGTTTCCACTGAAGTAAAACCAAAGTCAGAACCGCACCTTCCATCAGGCAGATACCGGCGTATGGTGAAGGGTACCTTCCGCTCACGAAGCTCCTTCATAGCAATCTAAGAAATTCAAAATGAAAGAGATCATACTAGTGTAGCATAGAGCTCTCACAAGTCAGATTCAATACCATAATTTCCTTTCAACTTAAAGAAACTACCAATATGTTTTCTTTTATCCGAAGAAAAATCGTCCTCAGCGGAGGATGGAACCATATTTTTATACAGAAAGGAGGGTGATGAGCTTCTCCCAGTAAGGCAAAAGAAAGCCAAAAGAAGAAAGAAGAAAAATGCGGCGCACTCATGTACTTTCTTTCGATTTTAAAAACACATTTGAAAGAGAGATATAAATATTACTTCATTAAACAAGGATTTAAAATTTCTCTATAACTACTATTTGTATGCATTGCATTAGTTGTGCTATTATTTGGATGATACACACATACTCACAAGTTACAACACAAAATTTATGTTCTTCTTTTTGCCAGTGACACCATTTCTGGTCTTAATCGCATTATGCACCACATTAGCTATTCTGATACAATTGCACTATAAGTTTCTGCTCTTGTTCACTTTTACCTCCTATTCAAATTATATAAAGGGGTGCTTACAAAGAAGTACGGAAGAAGACAATAACTAAAACAAAATCCTATATGCAAGCACTTGTTTTGTGCATGTCATAGTAAAAGCAGCAGCTCAATAACATAGTCAAATTAATCGGTAGCTGGAAGCTTAACGGGTAGACCCAAAAGAAAACAATTCAACTACCAATATATGCAAGCAAAGCAATAGCAGTAAAATGTACTTGGCTTCTTACCTCAAGTGGATCAGTCTCACCCTGCAACTCAACCATCACAGGCGCATTCATGCTGCTCATTCCAAACATTAAATTTGTAATGGGTTAGAGCCAAAATTAATTTATCAACAAAATTTTAGACTGAAAAGTTGAATTTGATACCAAAAAGAAATTTCAATTTAATTGAATTCAAAGTTCAAATACCTGATCTGCACAGCACGGGTACCCAAGATTCTGGCCCGTTCATATTTGGTCATAAATTTGGATGTTCTCCGAGGCCGTTCCACGGGTGCTTGTTCTTCTTTGTCATCAGCTTCAACGGCTTCTCCTGGAAGATCATCATTATTTGCGTTCTCTACATCTTCCTCCTCTGCACCTTCCTGTCCATTATTCAATTATTCTTCAGCAAATTTATTTATCTCATAAAAATACGAACAACCATTCTATTCCATTCTTATCAGAGATTTAGACAACCATATTAAACCCAAAAGAAAAAGAAGCAACAAAATCCTTACTTCAATCTCTGGCTCCACTGGCTCATCCTCATACCTGCATCAACAAGATCTCAGTAAGTTACTTGTTGAGTTATGAGTATCAAATCCATATTAGGCACGAGAGAGAGAGAGAACCCCATATCCATTTCGTTATAATCGTCGTCCGCCATTGTTGATTGGTGAAGAAGCTTTTCCTATGTGCCGCTGAAGAAGAAGAAGAAGAAGGAGCAGCAGCTGTAGATGTGAGTCGAGCAGGCGTCTCTGGAAATTGGAAGCGGGTTCGACCTCGTAACCTGATTATACCAGGACTTTTTAGGGTTAACTGTTGATTTGCCCTGAATTTGTACTTAACTTTCAATATACCCCATATCCTTTATTTTTATAGAATTAAGAATATGAACTTTTATTTTTCACCAATTTTCCCCCTATTATCTAAATCGTTAACAATTTCATCCAATTTGCCATTAAATATAAGGGCAAATTGGTCAATTTGTACATTAAAAATAACTAAATACTGAAAAATAAAATAACATTAAGTATAAAATACAAAAAATAAAATAATTTAAATAAAAATCAACCCACCACTCCCACAACCTTCTCTCTCTCTTCTTCCTTCCTTTTTTTTTTTTTTTTTTTTTAATAGACAAACTGGTACATGAATAAACCAGGGTGCAAACAAAGCACCAAAAACAAACAGGCAGGAGTCCAATGACAAGGGACTATAGGCAAATGAAACATCAAAAGTGACATAGCTTGTGGATACAGATTGGAAAGAAAGAGATGTTGCTTCAAAAAGCCTTAAGTCGTCACAAACCAACCAGCATCAGTCTAACCATTTTGTGGCAGTGGGCATGGTAGGCCATCCTTGTTTAAAATGCCTGTCAGAGAGGATGGGGGTCGGTCAACCCAGACAAAAGAGCGCATCCTCGAGGAAGATAGCTTGGCCAAGTGACCAGCTGCTAAGTTGGCAATTCTGGGAATCCAAGACCAATAACATTGATGAAAATTACTAGAGAACTATCGAATGGTTTTGAGAAAAGGGTATAATGCCACCTCCCTCTCACAATGCTTCCATGAACACTAGAAATCGCCTCGCGTGAGTCGGATTCGATTATCACATTATTCAAACCCTCATGAAGAGCAAACTTGCAGCCTTCCAATATTGCCAAAGTCTCAACCTCAATTGAGGAGGATGCATTGGTTGGGCCTGAGAAACCTGCCAGGAAAGACCCATCGGCTCTTCGAATTATGACCCCCACACTAGCCACATCCATACCTTGCTTCCAAGAGGCATCCACATTAACTTTTACAAAATCATTACATGGAGGCATCCACCGTTGAGTTAGGGATATATTTTGAGGGGGCGATCTATGGATGACATTCTTGTGGATCTGCGCATTAGTGAACTTTGCATAGGCTGTTTGAGACTCTCTTATAGCGATATCCGGAGAGGGTCTGCTTTGCTCTAAGGATATCTTACAACACAATTCCCAATATGCCAACATGTGAAAGCGATTATAGATATAGTCTTGCAAGAGTCAAATGGGACTGCAAGGTAAATTACCAACTGTAGTAAGGAGCCAGTTAGCAAAAGTGGAAATAGAGAACTTATCTATTCTCAGATTCAGCTGCCCTCCAAACCAAATTGGCACCACCCAAGTACATAAAAGAAGCATATGTTCCACTGTTTCTATCTCATTGCAGCAAATGGGGCATATCGGGGATGAACTTATCTTCCTTTTGAACATGTTTTCTTTAGTAGCTAAGCAATTCCTGAGAGCTTTCCACAAGAAATGACGAATTTTTTGAGGGGCTTCCCAACTCCAAACAAGCTTCCAAACTTTAGGATCAATCATCGAAGAAGAAGATGGGGCCCGTCCATGTATATGATCATATTCCTGCTAAAGCCAATGATACCCAGACCTTACGGAATAACTCCCTGACATCTTAAAAGGCCAAATTAGTCGATCTTGTTCCCCAATGAATCTAATGTGAGAGATTACAGAAGCTTCATGGTTCGATATTTGCTGCCTTATAGGTGAAAGCTCCCACTTCCAGGTGATGGGGTTGATAATTGTCTCCACAAGTTGATTAAGATCCAAAGCTTGCATATTCCTCAGTTGGATTCTACCATTTTGGTAGCTTGATAGCCACCTACCAACCAAATTTTTGTTTGTGAACCATTTAACACTTGCCAAATTGCACCCTTACAAATAATACCCATCCCCTACAGTAGGCTTGACCAAGCCCAAGAGGCACCCCCCCTTTTTTGGCCTCCAAGAAGCTACAATTTGGGAAGTACCGAGCCTTTAGAATTTGTGCCCATAGAGAGTTAGGCGCATTTATAAGTCTCCAACAATGTTTGGTTATCAGGGCAAGGTTGAACTCATGGAGGTTGAGAAAGCCCATGCCACCATTGTTCTTTGGTTTTCCTAAAGCCTCCCAGCTAAGTCAATGAATTCGTTTCTCCCTTCCTGATTGGCCCCCACCAGAAGTTGGATAGCAGGGAGTCAATTTCTCTACATACAGATTTGGGAAACAAGAAAATATTCATCGGGTATTGAGGGACAGCTTGCGCCACTGGCTTAATAAGGACCTCACGACCAGCTTGAGACAAAAGTTGTTGTTTCAAGCCCTGAATTTTCAACAAAATCCTTTCTTTTATGCAGAGCAAAGTTTCAAGTTTGGCTCTTCCCCAAATGGTAGGAAGGCCAAGGTATTTTCCCGGGCCGTCGACCTCTGACATACTAAAAACACCACAAATCTCTTCACACATATTCCCTGGAGTGTTGGAGCTGAAGTATAGGGTGGATTTGGAGAAGTTTACTCGTTGTCCAAAGGCATTACAATATGCATTAAGAAAGTGGACCAGATTCATGCTATTTTGCACTAAAGCTTTTAGAAAAATTAGAGTATCATCAGCAAAAATCAAGTGGGAAATTGTGGGGGCAGCGTTACTGAGTCTGATTCCCTGCAAAATACCAGTTAAACAGGCTTTTTGGATCATCAGAGAAAGCACTTCACTTACGAAGAGGAAAAGGTAAGGCGAGATAAGATCACCCTGCCTTAAACCACGAGAAGGCTTAAAGCTCTTACTTGGATGACCTTCAAGCAACACCGCAAATTGAACAGTACTTACACAACTCATCACAAATTGGATCCAGGAGGGAGCAAAGCCCATCTTCTACATAATTGATTCAAGGAAGTCCCACTCAATCCTGTCATAAGCTTTATTCATGTCCAATTTCACCCCCATTTCGAATTTTTTCTTGGATTTTTTCAGTTTGAGGTAGTGGAAAACCTCATGAGCAATTATGATGTTGTCCTAAATTTGACGATCTGGGACAAATGCATTCTGACTATCATAGATTAAGCTAGGCAAAAGAGGCTTGAGCATATTTGCCAGGATTTTGGAGAGGATTTTGTATGAAAAATTGCAGAGACCAATAGGGCAGAATTGTGAGACAGATTCTAGACATGCGGTTTTAGGTACAAGGGCAATATGGGTGTCATTTAGAGTTTGTGGGGAGGTAGTACCATTGAAAAATTCATTTGTTGTGCCTTGTACTTCAACTTGGATGATATCCCAATAGGACTGGTAAAAAATGCCTCGAAAGCCATCGGGCCCAGGTGCTCTCATACCTCCCATTTGGAAAGCAGCTTATTTAACTTCTTGCTCTGTAATTGGACTAGTCAACACAATATTCATTTCATCAGTCACCACACTTGGAACACAATCTATGGCCTCACTCCAATCTCTGTTTCCACATGTTGTAAATAGCTCCTTGAAATGAGCTTCAATGGTGTGCCTGATCTTCTTTGGATTATCCACCCACCGGCCCTCATGGTCTTTTATTCGAGCAATTTAGTTTTGCCTCTACCTCCAGATTGTTGATTAGTAAAAGTATGAGGTATTTGAATCCCATTCATTCAACCACTTAATTCCAGACCATTGTTTCCAGTAGCATTCATTTCTCCCCCATAACTCGTTGATCTTGTGTGTTATCACTTTCATGTCTTGATAATTCATCTCCCAATTATCCTGCATGAAGTGCAGCTGTTCCATTAGACAATCAATCTCCTCGTTGTTCTTAAACTTTTCCTTACTCCAGATTTTTAATTGGGTCTTGCATTGATTCAATTTATACCTCCATCTCTTGACCCAGGGCCTATCAAAAGTGTCACTCCAGCACTTTTCAACTAGTCTATAACTCTCCTCTTCTCGTGCCCAATTAGCTTCAAACTTGAAAGGCCTTTTGCTCCGACGAGATCGTGGTCCACAATTCACAATTAAGGGACAGTGGTCAAACCCCACAACTGTCTCATGGTATACGATGGTGTTTGGCCAAGCAGTTTGCCATTCATAATTAACCAAACCCCTATCAAGCGGTTCTTGAACCAAATCACCATTGCACGCTCTTCCTCTCCAAGTAAAGCAAGGCCCAACATAACCCAAATCCATTAGAGCCATCTTTGACATAAAGTTATGTAGGAATTTTGGGCGAGAGTGAGAAGGCTCACTTCCACCGCTCTTCTCACAACCCCACAAAAAATTCATTGAAGTCTCTTCCACAAAACCAAGCACGATTTGTTGGAGCAAAAGATTGCTCCATCCAATCCCAAAATTCATTCTTTGCCTCCTTGTAAGAAGTCCCATAAATCCAATAGGCACGAAATTCTCTCAGAGTATTTATAGATTTTATCATAGAGCAAATAACATTTGTAGAACTAAACTGAATTTCAGCACTTACAGATGTATCCCATCATAAACTTAAGCCACTAGTTGTGCCAACAGGAGCCACATCAAAACCCATATGGTATCCCATTCTTCTTCATAAACCTTCTATTATGCTAGTTTTCATCTTCGTTTCCATCAAGATAATTGCAGAGGGATGGTGTTTTCGGATAAGCCCATGGAGGGCTCGAACTGTCAGGTATGACCCAAGACCTTGACAATTCCATAACAAGAAAATCATTGGGGACTTGCGGTTGTTCCAGGCCAACCACCCCGGGAAATTTCTCTCGAAATATCTTCTTCCGTCTTTGCCTCATGTGCCACCCCCTCCCTTGACTGTAGAACACGAACATTTTGGAGGTTTTCCTCAGCAACCAAGTTTGCCCTTAATACTTGTATGTGTCTACGTGGTTTTGGTATTGGGGTGATCCTCCTCCTTTCTCCCTCACTTGAGGATCCCTTTTCTCGACCTGTTTTTGTCTTTTTTTTGTCTTTTTTTTTCTAGGGATTGAAAAGATATGGGGTTATCAGCCACAACACCACGCTTTAGTCCTAGGTTGGTGAGCGTTTCCCTCATCCTGGTCCCTTGGCCCACAACATCTTTCATTTGCATAGGTCCAAGTGGGTTACTTAGATTGTCAGTCATCAAGGGCCCAGGAATGCTACAATTTGGGTTGAAGTTTCTACCCTTGCTCAATTGGGCCAAACTCTCTTCAGGCCCACCTGTGTTATTAGGGTCGTCAATAGTCTGCATCGAGCCCAACAACATAGACCGGTGCTAATAGGACTCGGACCTTATCAGAATTAATTGCCATGATATGTTCCCCTCATACCCTTCCAAGCCCTCTCGATGTCTGTTCTCCAGCAGGTTTAGCCTACTGTTCTGATTTGCCTCATGTGGTGTACTGGCAAAGTCAGCTTTGCCGCTCGAGGTCTCCCTCCTTTCAAGGCGCATAACTCTTACTTGCTCCTTACTCCAAACAACACCCACATTTCAACGCTCTCCAGTTGAAAGAGCTGTGGGTTTGGGCTGGTTTTCCAACTCACGAATAATCTTTGCCTTTGTCCACGTGCCATAGCCTGCCGTCCCATCCGAAGTAGCTTCATAGCTACAGTCAGTGTTAAGATGGCCTATTCTCCCACATTTGTAACACAAGTCAGACAACCTTTCATATTGGAATTCAGCCCACGTCTCGTTCTCGTCAGCTTGAGAGAGCTAGAAGCCTGGAGGGAGCTAGTTCTATGTGTTAACCAGGACTTTTACCCGGAGATAGCCGCGGGCTTGGTTGGGACTGTCGTATTGCAGCACTTCTCCAATTTTGTTCCCCAGTTTCTCAACATTGTCTTCCATACAGAGGTTAAGAGGTATACCTCTAATTTGGACCCAGAAGGGAAGATTCATCATGTCTACTTCTTCAATGGCAAGCTCGGATGGCCATCTCTTGACAGAAAAAAACTGCTTCATGATTGACCATGGCCCATTATCTAAGATTTTTTTTGCCATGTCTTCATCTTGCATCGTTATAGAGAAGAGATTATCTTTTACCCAGATGAATTTTGCCTCACCGTACTATTTCCACGTTGACTTCAGGATGTTCTTTATAGCTTCACGGTTAGGCATATTGTCGACTATGATTGCTCCCACTAGTTTTGGACCATGCTCCAGATTTGAGAGGCCTAAAGATTCCTTCAATTGAACCACGAGTTCATTAGCTCCTGTAGAAGTCATCTGGGTCGGTGGGATATTGTTGCTCGCTGTGCTATATGTGGGGGTATTTCCACAAAGTTGGTGTTGTACCTAGTATGAGATTTCCAGTTGTTTATAGACAGTGAGATGCATAAGGGATTTAAAGACCTGAGTGAAGAGTATCGCAATTAATAAGGGGATATGACAATTTCCTGCTTCTTGAGGCAATGAGTAGTTGGGAGAGTTTAAGAAGCGGGATTTTGGGGTTGTATCGATGGGGCATATCTCAAAGTTCGAAGGTAGTTGGGGGGAATTCATTGCTTCTACGAATTGAGATCTGAAAAGTAGTGAAGTTAATATTTTGTAGCAGAGGGTGGTTGGGATCCAGTAACAACCATTAAGGCTTACCAAGATGGTAATAACTCTCACAAATGGAAAGGGTAGGCTCCCACAGAAGGAGAGAGAATTCTCTCTTCCTTTCCTCCTCCACCAAATTCCATCCAATTCCACTAGCCACCACCCTAATTCCAACTCATGAAGCCATCAACACCCACTTTTAATTTCAAAAACTCAAAATGATTGTTTTGTTTTCACCAATTGAAACAATACACATTTGTTATTTTAAATACCCATTTGACTTGGCAATTGATAGGCTAAGAGACATAGAGAAAAACATTCTGATCATGTTTATGGGTTCTATATGAGCTTTCCTTTACTCCCATTGACCATTCAGAGAGAGAGAGAGAGAGAGAGAGAGATGGTTGGAGGGGGTGAGCTGGAATCCCTGGGAATGGGCTGGAGTCGCTGGGTGTGGGGGAGAAGCGTCGGGGAGAGGATGAGAAGGAGAAAAAACCTAGAGGGGCGGGAGAGGGGGGTGCTGGGCCTGTGGGTGGCGTAGGGTTTTTTTCTTAGTTTTGTTTTTTGTATTTTTTCAACAAAAAATAATAATATATTTTTAATGATTTAACAGAAAATTGGATGAAATGTTGAGGATTAGATGGTAGGGGGGAAATTGAAGGAAAAAAAGTTTGTATCCTTAATTTTCTGAAAAAAAGGATAAGGGGTAAATCGAAAGTTAAGTACAAGTTTAGGAGGCAAATCAACAATTAACTCATTACCTATGCAGAAGATTTCAACGGTTCAGATTAAACCACATCTCCAATGCTTTAACTTAACTCTTTAGAGGCCAAAACGACGTCGTAAGGGGTAAAAAGTGAAGTGACCCAACACTCTCTTTCCCATCTTCCCTTCTTTATGGACTAACGATATTTCAGTCCCTATACACAGTTTCAAATTCCCCTCACTCTCTCCTCTCTCCTCTCTGAGGCCTTATGCTCTGAGTTTGCAAACCCCAACTACCTACCTACTTGTTTGTAGGACGTCGAGAGCAGAGGAAGCCAAATTGAATCAAAATCTCTCTCTCTCTCTCCCCAAATGTCTGTGCATTGCTACAGAGCACCATAAAGTTTGAATCTTATCTCAGGTATTTCCTTTTTTGTCAAACTGGATGCATCTGATTGGTTATTGAATCATATTGTTGACTGTGAAATAATACTTAGCTAAAAGAGAGTTATGGGCCGGAGAGTCTGTGTCATGAAGCCATGATTGAGAAAATAAGGAATAATAATGTAGGCAAGGTGTTTGAGAAAATGCGTGAGCTGAAAGAAGCACATCTCACTGGATTCGTTTCAGTTATATTGGCAAGGGGAATTTTTCAGCATATGCATAGCATGTCTTTTAATTACTCTCTTGGATTGTGATATGAGAAATTTACTTATGGAAAGACCACCTTACCAATTTACTTGGATTTTAAAGTTTGCATGTTGTGTTCTGCGTATGAGAATTGAATAATAATTACATTTTGGCAAATTTTCCTCTAATTTTTGTTCCAAAAATAAAGGATGGTATTAGTAAAAAGAACTCGATCAGTAGTATGCGATATTAGTTACCCACTTCTTCAAACATTATCGTTCAATATCCTCTTCCTAATATCATTGTTTTGATTACCGGATTTATGTCAGCAAATCAATCCATTTGTCGTTCACATTAATTCCTTCCCAAATCCATGAAAATCCATTTTCATCCTTATCCAAATTCCACTCTTTAAATTTAATACATTTGGCCTTATACATTATACATATACTAGTCTGGACAGGATAAGTTTGTAGGATAAGAAAAGAAATTCGTTGTTAAGATATGATTTCTAGGTTAATGGTTTATGCCTTCTTTTCTTTTGGGGGAGATTTTGGAATCTAATCTTTAAGGCCCCCATTTCAAACGATAACATACAACCCATTACCTATGCATAGTAAAATCAAAGTGGGCCTGTCACACATTTTAGGTATTATTCTTTCTTACCAAGCTCCTTTTGCAGCTGCTAAACAGAGTAAATAGTGAACGTCCTCAGAAAACCTCAAGTCTTTGTAGTTTTCGTATGCTTTCACTCACTAGGGTCGGCTCCTTTTTAGAATTGTGCTTCATACTTGTAAAGAAATGCTAAAGTTAAATTCCAATAGAGCTTCATGTAGTTTTGTCATCGTATATAGTTTTTCAATAGAGCGTAATCTTGAGTTTGTGTTCTGATTTGCTGATCGTCATTGTATGTACTCTTGGAAGAGAGCTATTCTCAAAGTCTAAGCCGAGAAGAAGCCAAGAAAGTGGGGTGTGCCCACACCATTGCCAAAGAAAATGATGCGGACATCATTAGTTAGTTTCCTAGATTCTCTAGTTTTCTAGATTTCACTAGGATTTTAGTTTCCAGATTCTAGTAGGATTTTATTTAAGTTTCCTAGTTTATTTGAATTAGTTCCTTGGTGGATTAGGATTTCTGTTTTAGCAAGGGATTTTTATCCTATTGTCTCTAGGTTTTAGTTTGCTTTAAATACTTCCTATGTAGTTCCTTAAAATGGAGATTTGAGATATTAAGAAAAGTTTACTTTCCAAGATTGGAGACTCCTTGGTGTAAAGCCAAGGCGACTTTTGCCACCTATTTTCTGTTTTTCCATTGTTTTCGCTTCCTCTAAATTACCCAAATACTCAATTCACCCATATCCTACATCAGAAAAACAACAGGTACGTGTGTTCCCTGTGAAAAGCTCCATAGGACATTTGATGATTTTGTGATCAAAGATAACAAGCAATAAAGATGCTTTTTTGATAGGCTTCCATGTATAATCACCATTAGTTGTCCTCTTTCCATTAATTTTAGGATTGCTCCTTATAATGCTTCTTTTCTTTGCTATTATTATCGTTATTGCCTTATTATTTTTGGAGTAACACTTTGGCTGCCACATTTATTCAAATTTTTTGATGACCTTGTAGATAGTTGATAATTTGTATAACTATTACTTTAGCTCTTGTAGGTTTGCTAAGGATATGAAATATTTTATTTCTTAGATACCTAGCAAGAGTGAGTATTAATTTATCATTTAAGAACTATAGGAGAAACTTTTTGGCTCATTATGCACAGATAAGTTAGAGGCCTTGATTTGTAAGGGTTTTGAGGCCCCAGCTGGTTTGTGTTGAGAAGTCTTCTGGTTTGTGGAAATCTGCTTCATTTCTTTAGCCTCGAAGTACATTACTTAGGAGCAACCAAAAATCCCACCTCCATTGAAGCTACCATTTTCTTCTCTCTGGGATCCCACTCATGAAAAATCTCTCTCTCCACCTTTATCTCAAACCCTGCTCCTACAAGGCACTTTTCCCCCTGAAGACTTTGTTCCTTTACCTTGCAAGAAATCCACTACTCCACATTAGTTTTCGAGAAAAACTAGTTGTGTTCTAAGCACTTAACAAGTTCACTCATGAGTATTCTCATCTCAAATATTTTACTTTAAATTTTAAACAAAAATTACTTACGTTTTTTACTTTTATCACTGTAATTCATTAAATATTATGTGAAATTCATATTTTTAAAGCATACAATATCAAAGGATTTATAAAGTATTCAATTTTTTAAACAATCAAAGTATTTGCAGCAATGACCATCACTGAAAACTTTAAAACTCTTCAAAAGACCTAAACTTATTTGTTTGTGAAATAGAAATACGATTAGACTCATAGCTAGTTGGTAATTACATGAGTAGTTAAATAGCAACAACAAATACTTGATCCTCAAAAGAATATGGTAAGTCATATCTCTTCAATGGTTGTTTCAGTTCGATTCGGGTTACTTTTGAAGTTCTAGATGTACAATTTTTATTAATGAATTTTTTCAGTTGTTTCCTTAATTTATCAAGGTGTTCTACCATCCATGGCAGAAGTTTCATCTAATTAATTGTTTTGAATTTTCATTTAATTTTTTTTAATCATAGACGAAAGTTCAAAATTTTCTTTTTTTAACACAAGTTTCCTTAATCTAATATAAACGACTAAAGCTTTTAAATTTTGGGTGATGGGTCTGAAATATGTTTATTTATGCGCCTGAAATATATATTTTTTTGAATTATAGATAGGTGTAAATCAAACTCTTCCAATTTTTGTCTTGTCATTTTACCTTTTTAACTAATCAACTAACCGTTACAAGTTCTTCCGTGGTATAATGGCTGCACCGGTGCAGTCAGTCTTGCCTTGTCACGTGTTCACTTAGAGGGATTTAGAAAATTTGGGACAACCGGGGCTTATAGGTATCCGGTTAAAGGAAAAATAAATTTTTCTTGTTCCAATTCGAACACCAGGGCTTGTAAGTATTGATTTGAACAACTGGACATCTTATTTCAGATTATTTTGGATGTGGGTTTTGAGATTGGGGTTGAATTTGTGAGTTTTATTGGCTATTTAAAATTTAAACTTCACTTGGGCAAGAAATTTCTTCAGCCACGCCATCATCACTCTCTGTGTGCCAAACCACCCAACCGAGGGGCGGTCACCCAAAGAGGTTGTCTCAAAGTTTCTTGGTGTTTTGTGGCGTTCTAGTTTAGATGTTCTATTTCCTTTTTCTGTGATTTAATTGTTTTTTTTTTCTTTTTCTCTGTCTGATTTTTTTTGACTCGTGATTTTTTTTTTTTTTTTTTTTTTTTTTTTTTTTTTTTTTTTTTTAGGGGTTGGTGATGTTTGCTTTTACATTGGCAAAAGTATCCTCAATTTGGTCATCACCATGCAACAGGTTTTCAAATTATTTGTCCCCTAATTGTGATGCTCTACTTACTCTGATACTTAATTCATAACTGGTCTCTTGACTGAGACTCTGGAGGTTCTATCTTTGTTTTGAAATAATGACTTTGGTGGCCAAAAGTCGCTCAGCTTCTTTCCAGTTCTTCTCCTTTCTCCTTCATCTCCCTTCAGTGGAAATCCACCGCAGCTGCTCTTCACTCTCCACCAACCTCCTTCATGATCCAAATGACGACGCAAAACACTCAAATGACGCCGAATTAATATCAAAGATCCTTGTCCACCACCACAATCCCTTCCACTCCATGGAGTCTTCTCTGCAGCTCCACGGCATCACTCTCTCTCCTCAGCTCCTCAACCACACCCTCCTGCGCCTCATCCACAATTCCAAAATTGCCCTCGCCTTCTTCAACTATGCCAAGTCCCTCCCCGACCCTCCTCTCTCCACCACCTCCTTCAACCTCCTCATTGACATCCTCGCCAAGGTCCGCCAGTATGACGTCGCTTGGCAGCTCATCCTCGAAATGGACAACTTCAACCTCACCCCCACCGCCTCCACATTTCTCATCCTCATTCGGCGGTTGATCTCCTCCGGCCTCACCCGCCAAGCCGTTCGGGCCTTTGAGGACATGGAAACCTTCGTCCAAACCAAACCCAGTAGCCAAGATTTTTGCTGTTTGCTTGATACCCTTTCCAAATATGGCCACATTAAGGTTGCAGCTGAAGTTTTTAACAAAAAGAAGCATGGGTTTGTGCCTGACGTCAAAATGTACACTGTTTTGGTCTATGGGTGGTGTAAGATTGGTCGTTTTGATATGGCGGAGAGATTCTTGAGGGATATGATTGAGCGCGGTATTGAGCCCAATGTTGTAACTTACAATGTCTTCTTGAATGGTATTTGTAGGCGTGCAAGTTTGCACCCTGAGGAAAGGTTTGAGAGGACGATAAGGAATGCAGAGAAGGTGTTTAAGGAAATGTGGGAGAGAGGGATTGAGCCTGATGTCACTAGTTTTTCAATCGTGCTTCATGTTTATAGTCGGGCACATAAGCCTGAGTTGTCACTTGAAAAGCTGAAGCTGATGAGAGAGAGAGGGATTTGCCCCACTGTGGAAACTTATACTTCAGTTGTAAAGTGTCTTTGCTCATGCGGGAGACTTGAGGATGCAGAGGAATTGCTTGGTGAGATGGTGAGGAGTGGGGTTAGTCCATGTGCAGCGACGTACAATTGTTTCTTCAAAGAGTACAGGGGGAGAAAGGACAGCGAGGGTGCTTTGAAGCTGTACAGGAAGATGAAGGAGGAGGGTTTGTGCGTGCCCAGTATGCACACTTATAACATACTGGTGGGAATGCTTTTGGAATTGAATCGTATGGAGATTGTGAGAGAGATATGGAATGATATGAAAGAGAGTGGGGTAGGACCTGATTTGGATTCGTACACCATGTTGATTCATGGGTTATGTGGGAAACAAAAGTGGAGAGAGGCTTGCCAGTTGTTTGTAGAGATGATAGAGAAGGGGCTTCTCCCTCAGAAGATTACTTTTGAGACACTTTACAAAGGGCTAATACAATCTGATATGTTGAGAACTTGGAGAAGATTGAAAAAGAAGCTTGATGAAGAGTCTATTTCATTTGGATCAGAGTTTCAAAATTATCACCTTAAGCCATATAGGAGATGATATGCCATCTACATGCCACTTTAGGATGCAGTGTTTACATGCGACATTAGGATTCAGCCATACATAACTTGGGTGCTACATGTATTATGCTTGCCATAGGTGAACAAGCACCCATGGAATGGCCTTGGAGAACATCCAAATTTATGAACGTGCCAGAATCTTGGGTACCCCCGCTGTGCAGAGCAGGTATTTGAACTTTGAATTGAATTGAATTGAAATTAATATTTCTTTTTTTGGGTTTCAATTCACCTTATCAGTCTTAAATTTGGTTGAAAAATCAATTTTGGCTCTGACCCATTACAAATTTAATGTTTTGAATGAGCAGCATGAATGGCCCTGTGATGGTTGAGTTGCAGGGTGAGACTGATTCACTTGAGGTAAAAGCCAAGTAAATTTTACATCTAGTGCTTGCATATATTGGTAATTGGATTGTTTTCTTTAGGGTCTACCCATTAAGCTTCCAGCTACCTATTAATTTGACCATGTAATTGTGCTGCTGCTTTTACTATGACATGCACAAAACAAGGGGAATTACTGAACTTTTGCGTTCAGTGTATGCATAGCATGCCTTTTAATTACTCTCTTGGATTTTGATATGGGCAATTTACTTCTTGAAAGACCACCGTATGAATTTACTTTGATTTAGAAGTTTGCATGTTCTACTATGTGTATGAATACATGTTGATGTAGTACAGCCCGTAGGTGTTAGATTAAGCACTTAAACAATAGCACATAGAAGAATATAAGAGGCCGAGGAGAAGAAATATAGATCGAAAAGACGAGATAAAGGGCAGAAACAGTAGAACAAAGAAGAATATCGGAGATCAAGGAGAAGAAATATAGATCGAAGGGACGAAATCAGAGAGTTCTAGGAATTACTCAACATTCAAATCTGCATTTTAAAGAACTACATGGGGTTATTTATAGCAAACTAAAACCTAGAAATAATAGGATAAAAATCCCTTACTTAAACAAAAAATCCTAACCCAAATAAAATAGGAAACTTAAAACTAGAAATATGGAAATCTGGAAAAGTAGAAATCCTACTAGTAATTGGAAAACTAGAGAATCTAGGAAACAAACAAATACATTAGGAAACTAATAAATTTAGGTCCTACACGTCCTGCATCACATGTACATTTGGCCATATAGTACATTATACATACACTAGTCTGGACAGTATAAGTTTGTATTGTTTCCATGTTTTGTATGATTGGTGTTTGATAGTTGATGGAAATGAGCCTGACTGTTTTGAAGAGCTAGATAAATGTCTTAACTGGGGTTAGCTATTGCTGTGACTCTTTGGGGTCTAATTTTCTGATAGTCATCTTCTCCAATAGAGCTTATCGGTTTAATCTTGATACGTCTCTGTTTCTTGACGGTTCTTCTGGGAAATTGAAGCATTTCTCAGTATCTCTATTCAACCCCATTTGTGAAAAGAATATATCTTTATGTGCCTGACGTTGTTTCATCATTCTTTTACTTTTAGAGTGATTGTTCTGCTTTGCCTACTGGATATGACAAAGATGAGAGAGTTATGGCACAGTGGCCTCTGCACTGGTAGACCAAAATAAATCTCATCACATAGTTTCACTTCATCATCAGTTGGGTGAGTGACACTAAAACCGCCATTTATTTTCATTTTCAAGTTGTTTTGTTGTGGCCTTCCAGATAGTGTTTGATGTCGTATGTAACAATTTTATGTTTGATTCAGGCTCTTTTTTGTTTGTGAAGCATGTGAAATGTTTCAATATTCCTTGGATAATCTTATACCTACTTGTTTATATCAGCGGACACTATGGTGTTGAGAAATTTCTTACCAACATAACTTTTCAGTCATGCTTGAAGCATGGTAATTTAATATTTACTTAACAAACTAACCAATATATGTTGCTGGAATTGCTGAAGTAAATAAATTAGGGTATAGTGACTCTTTTCTACCAGCTCCACTAATATATAGGTAGCTTAGAGCTAGCCTCATCCTTCAAATTCCACAATTGTTCTTTTTGGTCGAATATTATGAACATAATTTTTCTTTTTGGTAGAATATTATGAACAGATGAGTAAATGCTGTATCAAAATATTCATTAATTTCTCTCTATGCATAAACAGTTAATTAATCAGCAATTAATCTAAGTTGTTTTCTGCAGGGTTACCGGAGAGGATTGGGGCAATAGGTCAAGGCCGTATCTTGTTGAATTTCATCATTTCAAGGGAGTGCTATATATTCCTAGTGAAAAAAAGGAAAGCATGTAATGGCACGATCCCTTTGATTCATAAAATCTTAGTAGTTTTGTTTATTATTAGTGAACTTGCTTGGTTCGGTATATTCCTGATGATGTGCAGGTACTTTTGTGCGTAATGAATTTATGCAGAAAGAAATCCTTCATGTGGGGAATTTTTATTGAGTGGTGTGGGAGTATGTCGGGTCAATTCAAAATCAATTCACAATGAGTAAAGATCGTGTGAACTCTTAAGTTGATAAATTAGATTGGATTTTGCAGTTTTTTCCTCTGCAGTACCTCGACGTGACATGAGCAAGATTTCATCCCTCGACATCGGATATCACCTTCTAACATTCAAAACAACAAAGAATAAATAAATTTTTAGCGAAGTTTGTAAATTGGCTAAGCAATCCGAATGTTTTATAACAATCTCATAAAAGAAAATGTTTATAGAAATTAAGAAATGAAAGCACTACAAGAAGACTGGGCTATAGTAACAACACAAAACACATGCTTACAGAAAATGTGGCAGTTTTCAAGCCATTTTAGTTTGGCACGATGACAAGTGACGAAAATGGTACGAGTTTGCTAACAAACCACTTAAAGTAGATACTTTCTCTAATGAAGTACCCTATCCCTTTTTTTTGGGGTGAACGAATAATTGCTTCTTCTTTTTTGGGTCCATTTTTGTTGAAAGGAAATTTTTATTTTATTATTATTATTATTATTATTAATAAAAGTTTAGGGAGAGGGGTTAAATCTTGTTGGTGTTGAAAGGAAATTTTGATATAGGACAAGATGGGGTTAAATCTTGTGGAGAAATTTAGAAAACGATTCAAAATGATGAAATATGGGTTCAAAGATGGAAAATCATACTTGTGGCCCAAGGAAAAGAAGCAAGGCCTATCATTTGTATTTTCAGGTCTGGAGAATATTTCAAGATGATAATGGTTTTGGCAAGATTAATATTTAGTTTCTTGTCTTGTTTTCAATTATGGGGGGATCACTCGAGGCCGTTTGATTTGTACTGGTTAGACTTTTAGGTTTTTTTTATTGGGGTTTGTCTCCCCCACTCTCCCATTTATCAAACAAAAAAAAAAAAAAAAAAAAAAAAAAAAAAAAAAAAAAAAAAAAAAATAAATAAATTTTAGGATTTTGACAAAAAATAAAATTTTGGGATATTATTGTACTAATAAAGGTTTATTTATATTTATTTACATTAAAGATTGAATTGTTTCCTAGGATTATTATGGCTTTGAGTTTACTATTTAAACAACCTAATTCAGTTATAATCGCAAATCAATTTATTTTAATGGATTCTAGTTTCAGATTAATTGTCTTTCCTTTATCCTTTTGTTTTGTTTCTCATATATATATGTATATGTATTATATTATATTGTCAAAGTCATTCATGAAGCATGATCTTGATTTGCCTAGGTAGCACTCAACAAACTAACAGATTACCTGTCTCTTGGATTACCAAAAAGAATAACCTTTGTGTGCTTATAAATCTATAATTAGTTCTAAGACATCAAAAAACAAAAGCATCGATCATATAAAATCCAAATTAATTAGTGATCGATGGCTCACCTTTTTGCTTATGTGAGCATCTTTCTCTTAGTTTGTGGATCAGCCAATGCTCAACAAGCATCCCAGTTCTGTGTTTATGCCTGGCATGAATTCAGCAATTGCCTGAGGTTCCTTACCGGAAAAAACTATCCTCATTATCCATCACTTGAGTGTTGTGAGGCGGTGAGGACATTGAACTTGGTGGCCCAAGGTGATGAGTTAGCACCTGGGAATATATGTCAATGCATTGAGGACATGGCTTCTGTATATCGCATTCCTTTTGTAGCCTCTCTCATCCAAGACCTTCCCATAAAATGCAATGCTCATCTTAGTTTCCCTATTTCTAATAGCATGGATTGCACCCGGTAATACTCTCTCTCTCTCTCTCTCTCTCTCTCTCTCTCTCTCTCTCATAACAACTTCAGCCTTGGCATCAACTAATATATATATATATATATATATATTATAGTCACTGACATTCGTAGCAGATGATGAGGCGACTAAATACACTATTAGTGCCTAATAGCACAATAGATACGGATAATCGTATCTATTAGTTATTAGGCACCAATAATATGTGTAGCCACCTCATTGTGTGTCATGAATGTCAATGATTATGTAATGTTGTTTTCTTGTAGTGATCGATACAAGAATTGCCTTACATGATATCATATAGCTCTGGTTAATTTTATAATATGTGTGTAGACAAATTAACATTATGATTATTATTGTTTTCTGCAGCCTCAAATGAGACTTCTTGAATTGAAGCAAATAATTAGTGGGGAGGGGTCCGAAGTCTTTTGGAGCATATTTGAAGGAACGTGTGTAAACGAATTGGTGGGATATGCAAATAATTTATGAATAAAATCTATTGTAAGGTAACCAGTATAAGCAGCCACTGGTTGATCTCTTCATATAATCCAAGTGATCTACTCCATTACTAGTAGCTAGGAAACTAAAAATAAACTTTAAATAATGTAAAACGATGTTCTTTCTACACTAGTCTTTAGTTAATATTGTGTACTTCTCTTGACGTCCTAAATTTGCGAGAAATATTTATAGAACATGTATATATACAACAAATTTTACTGTATAGAAGATAGATAGGTCTGTGCATGGAAAAACCTTGTTGGAACTCCATTCTCAGACTTAATAAGATCCTCGAAATAACCCACAAAACACAAACGTTTAGTGAGCCGGACTGAATTGGTTAGAATTGAACTTGGAGTATTGAATTGGGTTGGTTTGGACTGACTGGAACTTGAGTCCAATAATGTCAAGTTATGTACCAAACAAAGGACTGGATTAGACCTTCAATGCAAGAGGAGCCTCTGTATGTATCTGATGCAGAGTGTTTTCAACTAGAAAACATGAAGAATCCCAACTTTTTGGCAGAGATTGAAAATAGCCAAAAAAATTTATAATAAACCTGGAACGACAGATAAAATAAGATAAGACCAATAACAAAATCTGACATTGTTACCGAATTGTGGCATTCTGAGTAATAATAATCTCCAACTATTGAGCCAAGGAGAAAGAAACCATCTCACAAGATAAAACCAAAAGAAAACCCATAGCATCTAATAAATATATCATATAAAGATAGTAATAAATAAATAAAAAACAGAAAATCCAACCCAAAAAAAAACAAAAATAGCGTCTGGATAACATTATCTACATGGGTGGAAGTATAGGCTACAACCTAGGGAGCTTTTTGGGGGGAAAACAAACCTATATATTAAATATAGCTCATTATGTAATAACTTATTAAGGTTTTTTTTTTAAATTTTTAAAAAAGGTCAAATTCTTCATGAATTTAGTTGCAGGGTAGCAATAAAAATAAAATAAAATAAATAAACTTTTAATTTTGTTGTTGAACATATTTTTATTTTGATAATATGTGTTTTTGGATTGCATTTAATTAATATTTGTTTTATGTTAAAGATATTTTTTTGGTCTAATTTATGTTAAAGCTTATTGGAAATTAGTCAATAGAGCTGTGAACTAACATGGTCTATATGATTTAATATATACTTCTCTTTCTAGAAAAAGTACATAAATTGTAAGTACGAAAAAAATAATTATATTTTAAGCTAATAAATTTAGTTAGTTCAACCGTTAAAAAATTCCTAGTTCCACCCTTGATTATCTAATCCAGGAAATCAAAATAACAATTATCAAAGTATCTCAAAATTTAATAATAAAATCGTTTGTAAAAGAAACAATAAAATCGGAAAAAAAAAAGTTTTAGATAGAGATCTTAACATTGTTTGAGCCAAATAAATCTCTTCCCTAAAAAAAGGAAAGAGAAGAAATTGAGAGGCATGAGAGAGAGAGAGAGAGAGAGAGAGAGAGAGAGAGAGGAAAAGCCAAATAAATCTCTTCACTGAAAAAGAAAAAAAAGAAAAAGAGAGAAGAAATTGAAAGGCAGGAGAAAGAAGAAAGGAGGAGAGAGAGAGATAGAGGAAGGCAAACTAGAGAAAGATGATGCAAAGCGTGAGGGGTGAGGAGGAGCTCGCGCTCATTATAAACCCACATTTGAGGTTGGGTTTTATAGCCCTAGTTATTTAGGACTTGGATCAAAAGCCCATATTCAGTATGTGATACAATTAAGCCTATCAAACAACAGATTGATCCATATTCATTTTAATTGAATATATCCAGTCTAGTTCAGTGCACCAAACATGACAAACTTTGTCAAGTAAGGGGGCACAGTGTGGATACCAAATTCCGCAACCTATCTGAAATGTCTTTCATCATCTGGAATTAAACAAAACATCACACAGGTAGTTTTTATTTTTATTTTTGAAATTGCTTACATTTTGCCTTTTACGTACGTATGCTTTTATGGTTAAGCAACCCAAGCACAAAAATTTGTTTCGGCATTTTTTTCCTATTTATATTAAAATTCTCTTGGCACTTACTTCTATGGAAAAGGCTACCTCCTTGTTAATTATTCTTTTATTCGGTATTAAAGAATGGTAACTCAAACTCATTTATCTAGAAAACTAATGACTTGTATATGCAGTAGATTTGCATTGTAGTAATTCACACTATAGAATGTGAAAATTTTCTACCATTGCTAGAAAATTTCTCGTTCTGTTTGTTGCTTGTTTTAGCTATCTATCTTCACTACAAGAAAACAACATTGTAGATATTAATATGTAGTTAGAATTATACTATCGGTGCCTAACAGCTAACAGTCACAGTTATTCGTGTTTACTTGCTATCTCTGCATTGAGCCACCTCATTTTGTGTCACATATGTTAGTGGTGATAATATTGTTTTCTTTGAGTGCGTATCTACACTCTTATTAATCTGAACTTTTTGAATTACTTGTGGTATGGATGGCGTTGTGCCTGGTCGATACATTACTGATAACATTTTAATTGCTCAAGAGCTCATGCACAATTTGTTTGGGCCTAATTTGGCACACTCAGTCCAAATAATCAAAAGCCCATATCAATTTTTGGACAGCCCCCAGCGTTCCCTTTATGATTGGGCCAAAAATTGCACACCCAGCCTAGCACTGAAGGCCCAGAACAAACAAAGCAAACTCAGGACTCAAGCTGTTTGGGTTTTTTGCTTTAAATCAAAATCAGGGGCCCAAAAACAAGAAAGCCCAAACCCAAGGTAGATTTTTTTTTACCAAGAATGGACCCAAGATCGGAAGAAAGCCCAATGCATGTAAATTGCTCAGCCCACAGTCCCAATACTCAACCTGGGCTTAACGCATGATCAGATGAAAAGAAAAAAAACAAACCCACGTGACTATCCAATTTGAACAGTCAGCAATTTCAACTGGGTTGATAAGAAGTTAATGAAGGCAGGTATAAATGAATGACATCTCTGAAATCTCTGCCACCAGAAGATCAAAATCCCCTTTTCTATATATTTCTACATCAGGATAGGCATCGTTCCCAAGGGATAAGCAGACTACATTTTCTAAAGAGATAAGTAGGATGCAGGGAGTTGTTCATCTGGAAGATCAAACTAACTGTTGATAGTTTACTTGCTAGAATAGATAACTTCCCTTTACTTTGACACCTAAAAAAAATAAAAGATCTTGTTTTTTAGAAAATCTGCCGCCCATTTTAAATATAAAAAAATCTTACTCCAGCATTTTCTATAAATATGAGAGAAGGTGAATAGATCAGAACAGCCAAAAAAAATCAATCAAAAACAAAATCCCAAAATGATCACTTGATCTCAAAAGCCTTCAAAACACTAAAGCAACCAAAAGCTCACTAAGCCACGAGAAAGAAGCTAGCTACAAGTCAAAATCTCTAACTTCAGTTCAGACTTAGAGAAATAAGTCATTCAAAACGAGATTTCTCTCGTTACAAATTTGGTTCAGCATAAGCCAAATCAAGCAGAGTTCAGGTTTTACAAATATGAAAACCTTAACAAATTTATGGAGAGCCCTGATCAAGCAGAACAGGTACCACAATGCAGTACCAACCCAGTAATCATCAAGTCCAGCCACTTCTGCCCCTTCCAAATTGAAGAGGTCCCAATTCTGCCCTTTCAAAAAGCCTTCCAGGGCTTGAAATAGATTAAAGCTTTGCAGGTTTTTCGTGCCAATCACAATAACCTCTCAGGATTACTTCCAGAAGATATCTATAATGCTACGAAACTTTAAAACCTCTCAATTCACTACATTGAGCCATTAGTGATAAAATTGTCAACCTCACCAACCTTGCCATCCTTGACCTTTCCTTTAATCATTTTGGTGGCAATTACTCACAATTTGGGGAAGCTCTCCAAGTTGAAATTTGTTACCCTTGATTTCAACAATTTAGAAGGTTCTTTGCCCTAGTCTTTGATGAATTGCACAAACCTTGTAGAATTGCATTTGGGATCCAACAACTTGGAAGGAGATATCTCCATGCTTGAGTTTTCCAAACTTACTCAACTTACTAAACTTGACCTAAGGATGAATAACTTCACTAGTATGATTCCAGTAAGTCTTTACGCATGTCGGTCCTTAAAAGCCATTCGATTGTCTAGAAATCATCTAGAGGGACAAATAGAAGCCGAGATTATTTCATTGAAATCCTTGTCCTTCCTCTCGCTTGCTGTAACATCTCACATCGACCAATGGAGATGGGGTGATGTGCCTTATATGTACATGCTTACCTCTATCTAGCACGAGGCCTTTTGGGAGCTCACTAGCTTCGGAGTCATGGGAACTCCGAAGTTAACTGAGTTTAGGCTAGAGCAATCCAAGGATGAGTGACCTATTGGGAAGTGCTCATGAGTTCCCAGAAACAAAACCGTGAGGGCATGGAAGGGCCAAAAGAGGACAATATCGTGCTACGGTGGAGCTGATCCGGGGTGCGATAGAATGGTATCAGAGCCACTTTGCCGTGTGGTGCGAGTGTGTCGATAAGGACATCGGGCTCCTAAGGGGGATGAATTGTAACATCCCACATCGACCAACAGAGAGGGGGTGATGTGCTTTATATGTACATGCCCATCTCCATTTAGCATGAGGCATTTTGGGAGCTCACTGGCTTCGGAGTCATGGAAACTCCGAAGTTAAGCGAGTTGGGGCTAAAGCAATCTCAGGATGGGTGACCCACTGGGAAGTTGCTGGTGAGTTCATAGAAACAAAACCGTGAAGGTAGAGGGCCCAAAGTGGACAGTATCGTGCTACGGCAGAGCCAATCCGGGATGTGACAAAATGGTATCAGAGCCACTCTACAGTGTGGTGCGAGTGTGCCGATGAGGACGTTGGGCCCTTAAGGGGGGTAGATTGTAACATCCCACATCGACCAACGAATAGGGGGTGATGTGCCTTATATATACATGCCTACTTCCATTTAGCACGAGGCCTTTTAAGAGCTCACTGGCTTCGGAGTCTTGGGAACTCCGAAGTTAAGCGAGTTTGGGTTAGAGCAATCCCAGGATGGGTGACCCACTTGGAAGTTGCTTGTGAGTTCCCAGAAACAAGGCCAATTCCAAGTTGGTTGGGGAATCTTCCTAGGCTGTTTTATATAAGCTTGCCAAACAACCGAATTTCAGGTGAATTTCCACAGCAACTTTGTCGACTACCAAGGTTGGTTTATATTGCAAATCAAACTTTTCTACCACAAAAATTGTATTTTTATCTAGCAACGATAGACTTATCTAAGAATAACATTGTTGGTGATACACCTACTGAGATCGGCCAATTGCAGCTTCTCTACATGTTGGTCCTTGACTCCAACAACTTCTCTGGCGTCATTCCAGACCAAATATCTAACTTAAAAAGTTTAAAGGTTTTGAAAGTCTTCATGAATCACTTGTCTGGAATAATGCCATCATCATTGGCAAGCCTTAATTTCTTAAAAGAATTTAATGTCTCATACAGTAACCTCGAAGGCCCAATACCAACAGGCACCCAGCTCCAAAGCTTCAACGATTCTTCGTTTGAGGGCAGTCCAGAACTTTGTGGTGCCCCACTCACTCCCAAATAAGTGCGGACCAAGTAAGTGCATTGTGCAGATAACAAGAACAATAAAGATGTGGACAATGGGCGAAGGTCAAATTCATGTTGAAGACAAAACTTGTAGCTGAATGCAAAATTCAAAATCATGGAGGAAGACCGTATGATCGACCGAAGGCTAAACTCAGACTATACTCATGGCTGAAGGCCAAATTCATGATTGAAGATCATACTTATGGTTGAAAATCATAATTATGGAGGTAAGAATATTCTCATTTCTTCCAGTTGCAGTGAAAAAGTTAAAGTATTTGTAGCATTTGAATCAATTAAGTTATAAACTTATAAGTACGATTGCCTAATCTGTTGGGGCAGTCATTACCATGGTTTTAATTCTTTTTCTACTTTTTTTCTCCTGGGAAATGATATTGTGGGGCTAATTAGCTAACTGAAGTTATGATTAGGCCTCTGCTATTTTGGGGATCTCTTAGTTGGATCAGGTCTCTAAAGTCTGTTTGATTTTTACTTCTAATTCTGTGTAGTTGCTTTTGCGGGGTGCATTGCCCTCCCCACCCCAGTTCACAAAGAAAAAAAAGACAGTGTTGGTCTCTAGAATTCGATGATGAAAATTTTCCTCTTAGGCAGTCAATGTTAGCCTTGGAAGTCTTACCTGTTTATTTGTCTGTTTTCAATTAGTTTTTCGGCAATCAATCAAGTATTCATTTATACATGATTGTCTGCTTTCTTGTTATTTTTTGTTTTTCCCAAGTACCATGAGGAATGGATAAGAAACAATAGCCGAGCAAACGAGAGAAACAGACGCAATGACAGACCTCGAAATTATGACAGATCAAGGAACTTTGATAGGAGGAGGGAAAATATGCAGAACCGGGATTTTCAGAACAGAGGTTAGCCTCCTATGCCTAATCAAGCTGGGCAAAATCCTGGGCCTAACATGCCTGGACCTGCCAACAACATGAGGACTCCCAACAATATGGGCCCCCCGCCCCCCAACGCAGGTCCAATGCCTCCCCACAACAACATGGGTCCAAACTACAGTAATCTGCAGCAGCCGAACAACTGGAGTGGCGGGCAGCCCAACAACAATAGCAATCAGATGTCGCCGCCACTGCCTAACTACAATAAGATGCCCCCAGCAACATGAGAGGGGTGCCACCAAACAACATGGGAGCAGGGCAGGTCTTGAGATTTTGAGGGTTCTGTGCTAATCTTAAACTGGGGCCTTACATAAGCTAACACAAATTTACACCATTACGTAATGCCATACAATAATTTGTTTTCTTAAAGTGACCAAAGTACCCCTACTCCCAAGGGCAAAATTGAAATTTCACAAAAGAATTAAATTTGATTACATCGATTAAATTGTATCAGGGATGTTACACCTTTTGAATAATCTCCATGATTGTGACGATGGGTCTTTGTCGTAATAGATCATATTCATATAGTAAATATTTTTTGACACCTAATTTTTTTTGTATCAATATTCCAAGAACATCATTAATTGGATGCGACTTTTTTGGTTGAGTTAGTTGGATGCATTATTTTTGCAAAATTAAATATCTTTTGAACACCTAATTTTTTTGTATCAATATTCCAAGAACATCATTAATTGGATGCAACTATTTTGGTGGTGAGGCCCATATATGGAAGTCTTATCTCTATGGGCACTTGAAAAAAAAATCTACCTGAGTAATTGAAGAGCTAGCGTCAAGTCAATGATGGGGACGTACGCATGTGACAAGCAATGTCTGCACATAGGAATATAGATATTATTGAGGCAATTAGAATATACTTGCTGAAGAATATATATAGTGCTATGCATGCAGTTGAGAGATTCAGTGTCATCATTTGAGGAATGAGGTGCTTAGTCGTTGGATCTATTTCAATGAAATCATGTGGTTGAGATTGATTTAAGTGTTTAAACTTGTTCGTGACTAATGACTTGCCAAAAATCCACATGTACGTACGCTTTACTGCGTAGCAACTGTAACTCGTCCATGATGGGAGGAGTGCCCCCACCACCAAATAACATGGGAGGTCCACCGCCGAATGCAGGATGGAGGGGTCCTGGGCAATACCAAAATAACTACACACCAGGCAGGGACGATGGAGGCATCCCTGGTACAAACCGTTATCGAGCTTGAGGCTACGTCACCATGAGTCTTGTAGGCATTCTGTAGATAAGCAAGGAGGCTGCTCGAGATGTGCTGTAGGTTTTTTATGTCACCGGTCTGGAATGATATTTTGTTTGGCTTATTGCTGGGTGCGAACCTGGTTGCCTTTTTATCTGAATATGATTACACTTTCAGGGTCGAATCTGATTGGGATTAATCGTATCTTTGCTTTGATACTTGGTACTAATCATGTCATGTCATGTCATGTCATGTAGTGCACATATTTGCAGAAAGCAGAAGACTGTTTAATGAAACCACTATGATAGGGCAATGCTCCCTTATTTTTCATCGATTAGTCATCCACCTAATCAATTGAACAATCTAAACAAATCCCAAAAAGCAATTATATGTATAATTTTTTCTCTCAGTGCTTGTACTTGTGCTTGGCTTAGCAACTTAAATACAGGAACAAATACAACCCAATTCGTTTCATCATTAGTTCATTCATCCCAGTCAACAATACAAACAAAACCCACAAAGCAATTATACAAAGAAATTAGTCTCTCTTAGTCTCAGTGCTTCTACTTGCAGCTTGCTTTAGTAACTTAAAGACAAGAACAAGTGATCAGAACCCATTTCAGTTCATCACCAACTCATCCAATTTCACATCGCAATCAAACCCAGATTAAGAGCGATTATTTAGAATCAAGATTAGTGGCAGACATGCCCGTATATCTCAGGCCATGTCACTCTCAAGCAAGGTTAGTGAAAAATATTCATCCGATTTGCATCTTTTTAGTGTTTTTTGCTGTGATTTCTCACTGATTATTTTTTGGAAGCTCTCCAAGTTGAAATTTGTGACCCTTTGATTTCAATAATTTACAAGGGTCTTTGCCCTCATCTTTGATGAATTTCACAAACCTTGTAGAACTACACTTGGGATCCAATCCAACAACTTGGAAGGAGATATCTGCATGCTTGATTTTTCCAGACTCAGTCAATAACTTTACTGGTGCGTTTCCAATAAGCATTTACTCATGTTGGTCCCTGAAAGCAATTCAATCGACTTTACATCATCTAGAGTGGCAAATACAACCTCAGATTCTTTCATTGAAATACTTGTTCTTCCTCTCAATTGATGGCAATAGATTGACCAATGTCACAAGAGCAATGAAAGTACAAATTTGTTGCACAAGTCTACGCACTCTTCCTTTCAGAATCCTTTATAAATGCATTGCTTTCAAGCTAACTAGAAGAAAATCAAAAAATTAGATGCAACTTTGACAGAACTGCCTTTTAGCTTGCAGCTTGCTCGAAATTACAGAATTGCTATCTTCCACTACAAATGTGACATCTGCATGCCGACATCCAAACACCCATCTCCTATAATCCTTCTCCACAACTCAACACAATTCACTTGTTCCTGGTTGGGGCTCATTTTATTGCTATCAATATATTTAGCAAGTAGTTGTTAAGTTGCCCACTTAGAGGGTTGAACATTATTGCTCTACCAAGAAACGTTATTATAGTAGTTGCCTTCTTGTGGGGCAAACAACTTGGAAAAAATGACTATCCTCCAATTTTGAATTTTCTTATAAGAATCATCAACAAGAAACAACTTTGAACATGCATAGGACGTCAATGTATAATGTTGGATCAGGCTTGACTGGCACTGTCACTCTCCGGCCATATCTATCTGGCAAGAAAAATAACACTATATATCTTCCAAAGTCCTTGAAAAATTGTCATTATAATGAAAGAAAACACCAATGAGGGAAAGCACACGTCAAACATTGGGTGGCTGGCTGTATTTATATAAATACAAGTTCCTAATTCTGAGGAGATGGGTTCTTAGAAGAATCATCCACAAGAAAAACAACTTTGAACTTGGACTTTGAGTGATTAACATGGAAGATGAGCTGGTATCAGTTATCAGTTGCCTTAAAAATAAAAGGAAATAGTCAAGTCCTCTCCTGGTGGCCCAAGGGTTTCAATATCAATAATTTGCATTCTGTGGTGGTTGTTTGCCGACTTCTCAATTTGCAGTGATGTTTGCTCTTATATATAAAAATATAAATGTGAGCAACGGCACATACACAAAGCAACATATGCTAGTGCAAGCTTATAACCTAATGGCTCATGCCTTCCTTCTCTTCCTCTTATTCTCTTGCATTATATCTACAAATATTCATGCCTGCAAACAAACTGAGCGCAGCTTCCTCCTGTCCTTTGCCAACACTCTATCTTCTCCTCCTTTAAATTGGACATCCATTGATTGTGATTGCTGTCGTTGGAAGGGCATCACTTGTGATCAAGATGGTTGGGTCACCCGTTTGCTCTTGCCTTCCAAAGGGCTCAAAGGAGATATCTCTTCCTTTTCACTTGCAATTCTCACACATCTCACCCACTTGAACCTTTCCCACAATTCACTATATGGTTCACTTGAAACTCAGTTCTTCTTGTCTTTGAATCGACTTGAGATCCTTGATTTGAGCTATAACCGTCTTTCTGGAGAGCTACCACTTTCTCTACCATCCAGCAATATCCGGATACTTGATTTGTCCAGCAATAACTTCTCCGGTGCAATTCCACCTTTAGTCTTCCAACAAACAAGCAACTTAACTAGTTTCAATGTTAGCAACAATAGCTTCACAGGGCATGTCCCATCCTCTATTTGTCTCCAACATTCTTTTCCCTTCCTTAGGCTATTGGATTTTTCTTACAATCTATTTAATGGCGACCTTGCTCCTGGGTTAGGTAAGTGTTCTGAACTGCAGGTTTTTCGTGCCAATCACAATAACCTCTCAGGATTACTTCCAGAAGATATCTATAATGCTACCAAACTGGAAGAAATTGCATTACCTCTCAATTCACTACATGGAGCCATTAGTGGTAAAATTGTCAACCTCACCAACCTTGCCATCCTTGACCTTTCCTCTAATCATTTTGGCGGCGAGCTTCCTCTCAATTTGGGGAAGCTCTCCAAGTTGAAGTTTGTGACCTTAGATTTCAACAATTTAGAAGGTGTGTTGCCCCCATCTTTGATGAATTGCACAAACCTTGTAGAATTGCATTTGGGAAACAACCACTTGGAAGGAGATATCTCTGTGCTTGATTTCTCAAGACTGAGTCAACTTACTAAACTTGACCTAAGGATCAATAACTTCACTGGTACGGTTCCAGTAAGTCTTTACTCATGTAGGTTCCTAAAAGCCATTCGGTTGACTGGAAATAATCTAGAGGGACAAATACAAGCTGAGATACTTTCATTAAAATCCTTATCCTTCCTCTCACTTGGTTACAACCGATTCACCAACCTCACAGGGGCAATGAAGATATTGATGAGTTGCAAAAGTCTTCATGCACTCTTGCTTAGTGGTTCCTTTGTGGGTGAGGGAATGCCATCTTATGATGACATGGTTGATTTTGATGGATTCCAAAATCTTCGGCTCTTGGGTTTGGTTTGTTCTAACCTCACTGGTCAAATACCTTTTTGGTTATCAAAGCTCAAGAATTTAGAGATCTTGGCTCTGGGTTTTAATCAAATCACAGGGCCGATTCCAAGTTGGTTGGGGACTCTTCCTAGACTGTTTTATATAAGCTTGTCACACAACCAAATTTTAGGTAAATTTCCACAGCAACTTTGTCAACTACCAGGGTTGATTCATGAACCAATTGCATCTCAAGGAGACAATTATGAATTTGAACTTCCTGTCTACAGCAGCAGCATCAGCATAACCGCAAATCAAACTTTTCTATCGCTAAACTTGTATTTTATTCCAGCAACGATAGACTTGTCTACGAATAACATTGTTGGTGATATACCCACTGAGATCAGCCAATTGCATCTTCTCCACACATTGAGTCTTGACTCCAACAACTTCTCTGGTGTCATTCCAGACCAAATATCTAACCTAAAAAATTTAGAGGTTTTGAACCTCTCCATGAATCACTTGTCTGGAATAATCCCATCGTCATTGGCGAGCCTTAATTTCTTAAAAGAATTTAATGTCTCAAATAATAACCTCAAAGGATCGATACCAACAGGCACCCAACTCCAAAGCTTCAATGCTTCTGCCTTTGAGGGGAATCTAGAACTTTGTGGTGCTCCACTTCCAAATAAGTGTGGACCAAGTAAGGGCATTGATGCAAATAACAAGAACAACAAAGACGTGCACAATTGGCTTCATCAACTTCCATGGTTTTATATCTTTGCAGCATTGGGGTTTATAGTGGGATTTTGGGGAGTTTGTGGTTGTTTAATTATTAACAAGACATGGAGATATGCATATTTTCGATTTGTAAACAATGTACAAGATAGGCTCCTCTATGTGATGATAACTGTCCCCCTCAACAGGATGGACAGAAGACTTCAAGGCTAGATATATATTATTAATATTGTACTTTTTATTTTGCATTTTCAGTTTGCTTTTCCTTTTTCTTCTTCTTCTTCTTCTTCTTCTTCTTCATTTCTGGTCATGACAAATTCACCTGACAAATTTTTCACATAAAAACGCTGTATTGTCGTCAGATGGACCTCTTCCTTGAAGTGATAGGACCTATCCATCCCTTCTATTTTATTGCAATAGTTTAGATTCTATTTCGCGTAAAGCTAGGATACGGTTATCCTTTTGGCATCATTCAGAATCATTTATAAGTACTAATAGCTGGTACAGAGAGGGGTCATGAATGCCTTTCCTTTAATTTGCTTCTTTGTTTTCCTTTTCTGAATCTGCGAACCTATCATGAGGCCCTGAAAGAAAACAAATGCAATTTCAAAGGAAGAAGAAAAAGACTTAAAAACCAAAGACTTAAAATTGAAATGAAAATTCATGACTTGCAGCCAACGCTGAAAAAATAAAGCAGACGGCGGAGCTTTGGGGCCTGGGGGGCCCGCTAATTCTTCTCCACTCATTTCTCTTCTCCTCTTCTTCAGATTCTTCTGTGCGAGAAGTTGAGAACTGAGAAAGATCACGACCTGTTTTTGGTCTGAAACTGAAATGGGTCGGATCATATCGAACTCGGCCAGA